TGCTACATGGTGCAGAAAACGTCCCCCGCGCTGGCCAGGGCGTCAGGAGGTGGGAGGGGCCTGCCCCCCAAGTCCCCGACGTCCGCCGGGCGGGTGCAGGCACCTAGTTGGGCTCCATCTCGGGGGTCCCACGGCCCCTGGGTAAGGGCAGCAGTCCCATGATGAGATCGTACAGGACCCTCCAGGGTGCAGGGCGGTGTCGCTGCTGCTCTTGTCTCTAAGGAAAGAGAGAGGAGGGGACGTCAGAGTGGGCTCGTGACCGGCACATGGGTCATCAGGTCCAAGGGCAGCGAGGAGGAACGAGGTGAGGTCCCAAGAGGGAGCCAGATCCTCAAGCAACCCCCTGAAGTAGCTGCTGTTATTGTGAACGGGGTCCAAATCCCAGTTCCTCCGTCCCCACCTCCCGGGCCAAGGGGGTCACCTCGCAGGATATCGCCAAGCGCTCAGTGCATATCAGCTGTGACCTCGTCCCAGTTTCCAGATGCGAAACTCACCCAGCCAAAGTCACGTGGGGCTGAAAGGTAGGGTTGGACTGCAGCCCACCCTGCCCTCTCCCAAAAAGCTGGGAGTGGGGAGCCCACCATCCCAGTGATTCTGGGACGATATGAGGAAGGAGAACTGGTCTATGCTGAGGCTGCACAGAAGTACGTCCAGGCAAAGCTAACTCTCTCTCCAGGGGCAGGACGAAGACTTGGGGTGGCCTCTAGGACCCTCTCAGCTCCAAAATGCCAGGGAAAGTGGGCACGAAGGAAGCTGGATAAGAGAAGATTCTCACCAGCGAAAATGGAAGGTGAGCCACAGCACCTTCCTGCCCCATACTGATCGCATGGCCAGGCCCTGCGCTGAGTTAATAATGGAGGCCCACCTAACCGCACCTCTAAGAAGTGAAAGAGAAACCCAGCTTACAGTCGAGAACCAGGTCAGATAAACGCATCCTAACAGTGCTAATTAATGGGTGGGGGGAGTGGGCTGCCTGGTACCATCCCCTGCATCCTCATCACTCCCCACCAATTCTCCCAGCCAGGAGGGAGCAAACAGGGCCCACTAGATCGGCCTAAGTTAAAGTCTGCCACTGTCACGCTGTTTCCGGGTGCCACCCGGCACAGCCACCTTGGCCAGCGAGCTAGCGATGGTCTAATAAACCCGAAGGCAGGCAAAGCACTCAGGTAGCTACTCTGGAGACACAAACGAGGTCACCCAGAGATGTGCATCGTTTGGAAGAGCCAAAAAAAAAGGCACCAATAAAATGTGAGACATTTTTAAAAACCCTAAAGGTCCATCAACGAGAAAATGAAGACATAGTATATGTTGACCCAACAGAATGCCGCGTGGTAGTGAAAATGAATGAACCACAGCTCCTTTGCCCACGCGGTTGAATCTCAAGCACAAATTGAGGGGGGAAAGTTTGGAGAGGAACATCTACTATATCATTTATGTAGTATGCCAAAAACGCCCCACAGCCCTAAGCATTGTTCGGCCTGGTAAATATGGAGTGAAAGAATCAACACCTGCGGGGGGGAACGGGACAGGCCAACCCGCGAGGCTTCCTCGGGAAGGTGGGGCTGGGGTCAGGGAGGGGGAAAAGGGGCTTCACAACATCCGGTTTTTGTTTCTCTTGGAATGAGCGAGCAGCGCGGGCGTCACGTTCAGGTTGGACAGGGCGGGGCGGCGGGCGCCCCCGTTTGTTATTCTCTATTCTCTGCTGCAGGCGGCGAGTATTTTGTTCTGCCCGGGGGCGGGGCCTCCGCGGG